GTGTGCACCGCCCCCCTTGCTCCTTTTCCTCCACTGCCCCTCTTCGTCCTGGAGCCTGCAAAGCTCAGCTCAGCCGGACCCCACCACTACCTTGTTCCCCAGAAGCCCCACCCCCCCCTCAGGTCTCCACCACTCTGGTGGCAAATGATCACATACTCCACAGTGGTATTTTCCACTTGACTCCGCAGCAAGATTACAAACTGCTTGAGGGTAGGAGCTGTGTCTTAACCTCAGAGACCCAAGCTATAAGGACCCAGGAGAACAGCTTCTTTTGTTAGAAGCCAGATATTCCCCTCCCTCTTCCCACCATCGTCCATGCATTCCAGTCCATTCTATCCACCTAATCTCATGGGAGAAGAAATCCTGAATACATTGAACAGCGATGCCACCACAATGCGCCTTAGGCACCTGCTGTATGCTGGGTACTGGGGGTGCCCTGGTGAGTGGCGATAGACCAAGAGTCCCTGTTTTCCTGGGTCTTAGAGTCAGGGCGAGGGGAGAGACTCATCAAACCGCTTACGTGAATGAATCTAGCATTGCATCACTACGAAGGTGAGCTCTCCGGAGGAATAGGGCCTTGCTCATGAAAGATAAAGCATGGTTTGGTTGGTAAGGGGAAGTGACACTTGGCTGAGACCTGAAGGATGAACAGGCTTTGAGGAGGCACGGAGGGAGCATCCCGGGGGCTCAGCATCTGAGTCCCAGCCATTCCACATAAAAGCTGTATCTCTCATTCTTGCAGCTGCAATAACCATGTGATTTATTGCTTGAACGGGATACTTTTGAGAGGAAAAGTGGGAGCTGTTAATAATTTCTCTGGGCCAATAGGTGTCAGTGTCTGGGCAAATCAGGCGCACGGTTGCATGAATTAAGAGTGACAATCTTCCTGCTTCCTGTCCCTCTAGCGATGAAAGGAACTTCAACCCCTGGTCAGAGCTGCCGGAAGCCTGAGCTTTCGCCTGCCCTTGGACACGGGAGAAGGCAGAGGATGCACTCCAGGAACGTGGAGGTCGGGGTGGGGCAGGCAGGAAAGTTTACGCAGGCCCCCAGAGCTAGAACCAATGATCAGGAACGAGGGCAGGCCTGTGTCAGGGAACAGGTGGGAGGGGGGCGGGTGGCACCAGTTTCCAGTGGCAGTGACTCTGAGCTTGGTGTGTGCGCTGTCCCCCTCCCCAGCCGCCCAAGTCCTTCCCCAGGCAGGGGAAGTTTGGGTTCCTGTGGCCTCTTTGCATTTCTTTCGCTCTACCTCCTTGTGCAAAGGTGGCCTGATCTGTACTTTGGAGTATAGGTAGAGCCTGATGGAGTGTGTGTGTGTGTAAGAGAGAGAGAAACCTGTTTCTCTCTGCTCCTCTGTCTGTCTGACTCTCAAGACTATTAATACAAACCCCACGTCTGGCTGAGCCACCAGAACATGAGCTCCCCACAGCAGAATGCCACCCCTCCCAGCTGAGCCTGTTGTCTGTTCTGTTTCTGATCGGCGCCAGGCTCATAGACCCCATGTAGGTAGAATATAACTTTCCATAAATAACCCCTAGCCCGACCTACAATTTAGGCTTTGGGTTTTTTTTCCCCTCGTGGTAATGGGATTATAGCCTGGGCTGATCCCTCCTGGGTCTTGGGGTCCCAGAAAGTAGACCCTAGGTGTACCTGGGGTTGGGCATTGTTTGGGATGCCCAGTTCCCCACCCCCCTATGCTGCCTGGCACATGGTGAGGACTCAGTACATGTTGAGGAATGCAGCCGATCGAGTCTCATGCCCCCATGAACACAGCCGTGCACCTTCAGCCCCAGTGCCAGTGCTTGGGCCACGCCCCCTGCTTAGAACCCTGTGCCTCCTTCTCCACCAGGAGAACTTCTAAGCAACACCCATCTCTGTGAAACCTTCCCGAAGAGTTTCCCCTCATTCCTACCACAAAGTGAATTACTCCTGTGCTTGATCCCTTAACACTCTGTACAGACAATGTGGCCTGATGACTTGCCCAGGTGCCCACCAGGTTCTGAGCAGCTTGAGTGAGCGTCAGAGCAGGAACTGATCCCACATCGGGCTGTGGGCGAACATCTAACCCCTGGGTGCCCCAGTTTCCTTAGATCCAAACACAAGCCTGGCTCCAGAGCCCATGTCCCCATCCTTTGTACCACATGGCCTCTGGGGGCTGGACCATGTATCCATTTCCTACCCGTTCTCATTCCCAGCTCTGAGACACTCCTCTCGGTGCGTGGGTTCCCTGAAGGCTTTCGCTGGGGCCTCCTCGAGGCCTAGAGACACAACACCCACTGACAACTATCAGAAACTTGCTGGTGATGATAAGGAATTTAGGAGGATTCATTGGGAGTTAAAGTGAAAAGGCTTCGGGGCTGGGGAGGGCTTTGGGGTGGGGTTACCCCAAGAGGGGCTGGACTGGATTCAAAGCTTTGACTCATCTCTCCCTGTGGCGATTGAAGAGTATTCCTTGCGTGTCAGCCGTGAGACACCTTGGTGAGACAAGACCAAGAGAAGGACAAGACATTGACCCTGTTCATGACCTTACATTTTCACCGGGGAGGCATACAATTCACTTTTGGGAAAACACGTGACAGAGCCCCGTGGGAGCTGGAACTGAGTTGTACGTGGCTTGTGTCAGTCTCAGCACTAAGCAGGGCTTGGCCAGGTGAGACACACGATCCACGAACGAATATTGAACGGAAGACATAGAATCAGAAACCGAGGTCGTGGCACGGACAAAGGGGCTGGGGCATCTCAGGAGAGCTCAGAGGGGATTGCAACATCCCTGGAAGGTTCAAGCTCCGAGGTGACAAGGAACATGAACCCTAAAGCAAGAGCAGGAGTCATTGCACCATCGTCCATGCATTCCAGTCCATTCTATCCACCTAATCTCATGCGAGGAGAAATCCTGAATACATTGAACAGCGATGCGACCACAATGCGCCTTAGGCACCTGCTGTATGCTGGGTACTGGGGGTGCCCTGGTGAGTGGCGATAGACCAAGAGTCCCTGTTTTCCTGGGTCTTAGAGTCAGGGCGAGGGGAGAGACTCATCAAACCGCTTACGTGAATGAATCTAGCATTGCATCACTACGAAGGTGAGCTCTCCGGAGGAATAGGGCCTTGCTCATGAAAGATAAAGCATGGTTTGGTTGGTAAGGGGAAGTGACACTTGGCTGAGACCTGAAGGATGAACAGGCTTTGAGGAGGCACGGAGGGAGCATCCCGGGGGCTCAGCATCTGAGTCTGTAGGCATGGGGGTAAACTAAGGCAGGGACGAGTGTAGCAGGAGAGCATGGCCCCTTGGGCGTCGGGAAGGAAGTTTGGTAGAGAGGGGTGTGGGTGGGGGCTGGGAAGCAAGCAGGGGAAGGCCTCTCGCATCAGGATGAGAAGCCAGAACTCAATCCTGGGCAAGGAGGAGCTACGGAAGGATTGCGAGCAGGGGTGCGGCATATGGTGAGAAGGGTGTTTCTGGAAGACAATGTGGAGGGCAGGCTGCTTGCTGGGGACCAGGCTGAAGTTATGACAGTAGCTGCGGTGAAGGAATGAGGTCTAGGTTTGGAAAGGAAGGGACAGACAGGACTTTCAAAGGGAGGACATAATTGCCACAAGGGCCCCCGCGGCCCCGTCAAAGGTGTCTCCAAGGTCGAGGTCCTAGTGACCAAGAGAAGGATGTTAACTTGGACAGAACGACTGTGTGTGGTTGACAAAATGAGACCGCATCCTCTCGGAAATGATTCATTGTCTTTATTAACAATGCCTCTGGACTCAGAAAGAACAGACTGGTATTTCATAAAGCAATATTAACGTTGTCATTTCTCTACAAGAAAAAACTTTTGCATAAATAACTTAAGTGAGAAAATAAATAGGTAACTTAACTCTTTTTAAGAACCACGACTCTCATTCTTGTGGACAAACCCCACATGAAAGGATTGCAAAAATGGCCAGCCCGGCAGGCTTTCACGTGGTATGTGCTTCTGTTTAAAAAAAAAAAAAAAGTTTCTTTTTTTCTTTTAACAATTAAAAACTACACAGAAAGTAAGAGATGTCTGGAAATGACTTTCAGAAAGATTTTTGGATGACAGCTAACTGGTCTTGCGGTTTTCTCAGCATATATACAGCACTTGTAATTTTTCCCCAAGTAGTAGTATTTTAACGTAAGGTGCGCCGTCACAGGTAACAGCAGTAAGAAGCTAGCTTCTAGACAGAATCGTGTCTGTAAGTGTTGGCAGGAGGAGGTGCCTGCAAAGGGATCTGCTGGTCTTTGAATGGGTGCTGGCTGCTCCCTTGGGCCTGCAAGCCCAGTGTCCTGGGACCTTGAGCTTCTCTGCAGAAGGTGACTTTAAAATATGGCCGTGGTGGGGGGTGCTGTTCTGTTGGAATGGGGGGCGGTGATTTCTGTCCGCGCTCTACTCCCTGCCCTTCCCCCGTCCTCCCCTCCCGCCCCAGCCTTGGGACCTTCTCCTTCTCTATCCCAACTGGTGGATTTGTTTCTGCATCCTCTGAGGTGGAGGGGTCGAGGTAGGGAAACATCTGGGGAGGCCAGGCTGGAAAGAACACAGCTTCTTCCACGGTTTTGTCAGCCATAAAAAAGACTCCCCCCACCCCCACCCCACCACCACCACACTTGTTTTTCATCTTTGGTTGTCAGATCAGAGGATTACAACTCTGAATTCTGGAGGTGACCACGGCGGTAATCCAATCCAACCTCTCTCTCTCTCCTTTGCCCATTCAAAAGGCACCCACGGCCTTGGAATCATGTGACAGTAGATTCCTCGAGATACAAATCCCACCCCCACCTTCATTTTCCAAAGAGGAAATTGAGGACGGACTCGGGACAGAAAGAGAAGAGTGTGGTCCAAGGTCATCCAGCAAGTTAGTGGCAGAGTCCGGACTGGGAACCCTATCTGCGGACCCCAGTCCTGTGTTCTTGGCACAACAAGGCACTAAAGGCTTTATGAGCGGCAGAGGAGTGGGGGAGGAATCTTATCGAACTTTCTTAACCAGTCCCCGGACTTTTCTCATTCCCCACCGCTCCCTTAGAACCCCTGGGCGGTGAAAGGCTTGCTTTCCTGCCTCCCTCTGAAGTGGGACCAGCAAAGGTGGGCGGCCCCGGTGGGCGGGGCTGCGTGGCTCAGTGTGTGTGACTCTCAGCGCCCTCCCCTGCCCTGCGGGACCCCCTCGGACGCGGGGTAGTGGGGACGGGGGCTCTTCTGGCCCTCCCCGCCCCGGGATCCGCAGGGCCTGGCTGCCTCCTGCGGAAGCCCGGAAGGTCTCAGCCCCCCTGCCCGGGGTTGCAGACATTTACAATGAGATACAAACAATCAGACCGCGCGCAGAGGGCAGAACCCCGGGCGCCTGGGCCGGGGCGCGGGTCGGGGAGCGCGGCGCGGCGGGCGGCCTCTAATAGGCGTTCTCCAGCTCGGCCTGGTTGGCTTTGGTGCCCCCGGCGCGGGGCCGCGGCTTTCGGCCCTTCTGCGGCCGCGTGGCCTCGGGCCCGAAGTCCTTGAGCTCGGACTGGTTGTGGGAACGGGTGAGGCGCTTGCACTTGCAGGAGGCCACCAGGCGCACTTTGCGCGCGCGCGGCGCCGCGCCCCCGGGGCACAGCAGCTGCACCCGCTGCGCGCGGTAGCGGTCGGGGATGCAGCGGAAGTCGGGCCCGCTCGGGCGCCACCACTTGCCGCGGCCGATGGCGTTGGGCAGCAGGCGCGCCGGGCCGCACTGACCCGAGCACACCAGCTCGGTGACCGGCTTGGCGCTGCGGCAGGGCCCGTCCGTCACGTAGCGGGTGAAGTGCAGTTCGCGGCAGCTGAACTCGGACACGTCTGCGGAGAGAGGGCGCGTTGAGACCAGCCCGGCTCCCTGCACGCCACCAACCCACGCCCCGGCCTTTTCTGAACGTGCCGCTTTCCAGACGCGTTTGCCCCTGGGTATCTCTTCCGGGAAAGGACCCAGGTATTCTGGCGCGAGTGGAAAGACCTCTGGCCCACCCTTTCCCCCTAAAACTTTGATCTTGGGCAAGTCATTTAACCTCTCTGTGCTTCCTATCCGTAAAATGCGTTGTCCTAAGGAGTTAGTGAGTGAATCCATTGCATCCATAATGCAGGGGACACAGTGAGCACATAATAAGAGCTGGAAGTATAGGCTGTTATGTGTTCTTCTTCTTCTCCAAAGGGGGATTTTTCTCCCCCATATAACTTACATCTGTGTAACAGAGTGCCTGGTCTAGGCAGAGTAGGTACTTGCCACACCCTTTGCATGGCCTTGGCTTCCCCTCAAGTCTTTTTCCAGCCACTTGGGAGGGATGGCGAGGGATGGAGAAAGGAGTAGGGGTTAATTGAAGGTAATAAATCAGGGCAGCTGCCGCGGAGGAGAGAGATGGAAGCGGAGGTGGGGAGGAGAAGTCATTAGACTTGAAAAGAGCCAAACGCTGCTTGTCCAACCCCCTCATCATCACTGAGGACCAGGAGGCCTAGAGAGGGAAAAGTACTTGCCCAAAAGGCAGAGCTGCGCATCCTCACTCCACTTTCCTGGGGCCCCGGCGCCTCTGGGTTCCCATAAGGGTGGACGCTGTGTGCCTGAGCACCCTTGTGGGAGGCTGCACTGGGGGTGGGGGCAAAGGGCTGCCTCTTACTGCAGTTACTTCCCTACCAGAGGGGATGGAGCTCTGCCTGACAACCTACAGGTTCAGCTGCCACAAACACTTATTAAGCACCTGCTGTGTACCAGGCATGCTGCTGGGCACATCTCTTGTTTTGTGCCGTTTTAATGGATCCCAGATGGTGACCCAGCCTTGCTCCTGGGTTGGGGTGGGGGGGATTGGGTTCTGAGGCCTGGCTTGGTCCCCTGAAGACACCGCGATCAACTCTCCTACTGTGGGCTTAAACAGGTGGGAGCTTTTTAAACAGCTGGTCCTCATGTGAGCACCTGTCCGTCACCCAAGGAGATGAAAAACAGTCCTGAGACCAAAAGCAGAGAGGCACAGAACAGGCCAGGCCTCCACTCCCCAGGCCCTGGAGAACAAGCATAGCAGGGGAGATGTGGGTTTGCCTTCCTCCAGTGGCTGACCTTCTGGTTTCTGGGCTGGCTTGGCATCCTCACCCCGGCTCCCAGGCTGCAGGGGTAGTGTGTGGAGGCGGCCTGTTTGCCCAGGCAAGGAGGCTTTTTGGGCTTTCCAAGAATAGTGCCCCCAGGTCAGGCACTTCCTCTACAGAAGGGACTTTGTTTTGAGCTCACAGCTTCCTTGGGGCCTGTGGCCTCTCATGGGAGCCCAGGGAGGTGGATATTTTGTACTTGGGCCCCACAGAGCCCAGGAAGCAGTCCCTTGAGCTTAATCGACCTTGCCTGGGGGGAATGGCAGGGTGGTGTTCTCCTGCCCTCCCTTTTTGAAGACTTGAGGTCCCAGGCCTCCTGTGAGGCTGCCCCCTTTGCCGAGCCCCACATTCCCAGCTGGTTGTGGGGCAGGGAGGGATGGGATGAGGGGGCCTGGGCAGGGGACTCCTCTCCCACCCAGACAATGACTGGAGGGCAGTGAGGCCCTCCCTCTGAAGTGTCATTCCGGCCCCACCCCCAGCCGTTCCTGCCCGCTGCCGGGCCATCTGTGCACACCGCCCCCTAGGCTTCTCCATGCACACCTGACCAGGAGCCCAGATGTGCCCTCCACCACGGCCCTCGCCTTGTCACGAGGGTCAGGCTCCCTCCCTAGTAGTGAGGCAAGCCTGGGTCTCGGGTGGGGACCTGGGGACAGATGGGGCCACCTGTGTCCACTCCCTGCACAGAGGATGCTACCTCCCCTCCAGGGCCTGGACCCAAGTTGCTACCCAGGTCGGACGCTAAAACTCTGCCTACAACTTCCATGCCTTCAAGTGTCAGCTCACTGGGAAGACTCGGGGCAGTGGGAGTGTCCTCTTCCCGCTGATTTGTGGGGACTTGCTCTGGCTCTCAGTCCCCAGCACCCCCCACACTATCCGCCACCAGGGCTGTCTTGGAATGGGATCAGACTGGGGTCAAATCTCAGCTCTTCTGCTCCCTACCAAGTTACTTAGTGTCTGGAGATTTCTTCACTTTCCAACTGGGAGTGCACCTCCTGGGGCTCCCCTGCAGCAGATCCCTCAGGAACAGCCTGGGTAGAGCGTCTACCTCCAGCAGGTGCTCACAGATAGGAGGCTCCCTTGTCTGGTCCCCTGTCCAGGGATGCCAGCTGCCGGGCCTGTCTCCTATATTCTCAGGAGGGGATTCTTGGAAACTGTCTCCTTTCTGAGGCTCTGAGCCTGTCCCAGGGCTGTATCCTCACCACCTCTGCCTCCTTCCTGCCCCAGGCTCCTGCTGCCAGCCCCCCCACCAGCCTCATGCCCCCGCGCTGGATCGCCAAGGCTATTCTGGCTTGCCACCCTCCCCCTGCCTCCAGGCAAGGCTGTCTCTCCGTTAGAGCTGACAGCGGCGGACGGGCCACCCCAGTCTTCAAAACCTCCCAGAGAGAAACTTCCAGGCCCCTCGTGTGAAAAATGTCCTCCTCTCCCGCATACCTTTGGTCTCAAAGGGATGATGAGGGGGCCTCCCTCCGTTCTCCGCCCGGTTCATGGTCTTGTTGTTCTCCAGCTCCGGCGGAGGCTCGGGGTACTCGCGCAGCTCGGGGATGATCTCTGTGGCATCGTTCTTGAAGGCCTGCCACCCCTGGCCGGCCCCCACACGGAAGGCTGCATGCACCAGCAGGCAGACAAGACACAGGGCAAGAGAAAGCTGCATGGTGCCAGCCAGAGGAGGGCACCCAGCCTTCCAGTAGCACAGGCTCCGACCTCCAGCCTGGGACACGTTTGCCTTTTTAAAGCCCCCTCTGCCTGATGCCAACCAATGAGGACAGGCTGGGGCAGGGCTGGTCCCATGTTTCTCTCAACCCAGGGGGAGGGAACGGGGTGTGCTCACAGCAAGCCCTCCCCAAAGACTTCCCAGGCACAGCAAACTCCCAAATTGCTGCTGGTGCTCCCAGGTGACCTAGAGGGAGGCGGGTGTGTGAGGCAAGCCTGCCCTCCAGCCCCTCCCATGTGCAGGCGGCTGTGGTTTTCAGATATCAAAATGAGCTCCAGTTTGTAATCTTTACCTCCTTGGGCCCCTTGGGCTTTCTCAAAAACAAACTGTGGACCAGCGTCACAAAGAAAACGACAGCTCTGAGCCCTCTGCAGGGCTGAGCCCAGCCAAGTCCCTTTCTCAGGCCAAGTTCATTTGTTACCCCACCAACAAATGGCCCAAGGGCTCTATCTTTGGCCCCCACAGACCCAGGCAGAGGCAGAAGGAGGCTTTTTAAGAAAAGTTCATCGGTCCCAGTTCCATGGGGAGGCTCAGCATCAATTATCCTGACCAAGATAGCCCCTTGTTGGCACCCTCTGGAAGGCAAGAGAGAAAACCGGAAGGCCACGGGGAGGGCGTCTGCTTGCACCAGGAGGCAGGGATTCTGGTTACAAGGCCAGGATGAGCAAGTCAACAGGCAATGGTGATGGAGCCCAAGGAGGAAATCTTGGGGCTTCTGTGCACCGTGACAGGCACTTCTTGGCCAAGACACTCATAGCCGCTTGGGGACTGATGTGCCAAAGGCACTTATTTCCCCGGCTAGGCATGGAGAGCACAAAAATCCCTTTTCTTAGCAAAAGCCAAGGCCAGCATTTTTGGTGCTGATGTTCTCTTCTTCTTCTCTCTCTTTTTTTTTTTTTTGGTCTCCCGGACCATTACATTTTTCAAAAAGAGCTTTGAGTCCTATATAGAAAGCCTTATTGGTGCATGCTATGGGGTGCATTCCATGAAGCCATCCCAGGTCCAGCTAGCCACAAAAAAGCCAAAAGGAATTGCCACCTTAGCCCTGGAGCAGAACGAGGGGCCTGGGAGGGGTAGGGTACTGGGGAGGAAGGTTCACACCTGAGGTTCACACCTGAGGAAAAGAAAGAAGAGCCAGCGGAAGCTTTCCGGGCAGATAAAGGAGGAGGTGCATCGGGCTCCTGGCCCTAAAGGAGGCTGGGAAGAGGGTTGTGGCCCAGGTCCCCTTGGTATTTTCACTGGGCAATGAATCAGCACGCCCCACCTGCAGAGCCTCTAGGAGGCCTTTGCCACCTGCCTTGACTTGTAAGCCGCGGTGTCCATCTGCAGCCGTCTGCCCCTCCTTTCCACCATCCATCACTCCACACATGAATGCAGCTGCTCTGACAGTTTTACAAGCCAGACAGAAGCCCCTGCAGGAAGGGCCCTCTCTGATACCTGCTTCCTAAGTCAGTTTCCTTCGGGGCAGACGAAAACAGCTGTAACCATTGTTGGAGGTGATCTATCTCTCCCAACAGAGCCCGTGGGTGTTGTGAGAAGCTGGCCCTCTGCGCCCCCTCCCCCTGTCTCTGACCCTCCAGCCTCCTTTTCCCTTGCTCTGGAATGTGGACCGTTAACCCAATCGTGGCCGGACAACGGCCTGTTTGCCCTGGATTTGGGAGAGGGAGGTTTCGAGGCCGGATTCCTTGAGCTGGCGCTATCGGGACGCTGAAGCCCCACCTGCTGGTGGGAGCTACAGACCCAGCCGCCGGAACCCGAGCCCGTGGGGCCCATCCTCGGAGCACTGCTGCCACCTGCTGGAGACAGAAGAGCCGGCGGCCGGAGGATGGCGAAGGGTTTTATTTCATTTCATGTTTTATTTGGAACTGAAGTCATTGTTAAAAGAAAAAAGAGGGCGCCTGGGTGGCTCAGTTGGTTAAGCGACTGCCTTCGGCTCAGGTCATGATCTTGGAGTCCCGGGATCGAGTCCCGCATCGGGCTCCCTGCTCAACAGGGAGTCTGCTTCTCCCTCTGACCCTCCCCCCTCTCATGTGCTCTCTCTTTCTCTCTCAAATAAATAAATAAATAAAATCTTTAAAAGAAAAGAAAAAGAAAAAAGAGAAGAATCCAATGGATTTGAACCTATGAAGTATGTCCATCCTTTTGAGTTATTCTCTGCCAAGGTATAGGCTGCTCTTCCCAGAACGGCTCACAGAGAACCTGCTATGATGCCATCTGCTTTTTCACTTCATGCTAATCCAGCTTTGTATTGACTCAGTTCGGGAGCTTATCATTGTTCAGAGTTAAACCCCCAGGGTTTTAGCTGACGTCTGTTGCGGGTACTTAGGTTATTTCCAATGCTTCCCTATCCTCAGTAGGGATGATATGAACAGACTCCTCGTACGAAATAATTTTTTGAGTTAAACTGTTTGCGATCATTGTAAATTCACATGTACTTGTAAGGAATAAAACAGGGCAAATTCCACGTACTCTTTGCCCAGTTCTCTCAATGGTAGCATCTTGCAAAACTATAGTACAATATTACCAGGATATTGACATTGATACGACCCACCAATCTGATTCAAATTTCCCTAGTTTTACTTGTATTCATGTGCACATGCACACGTGTGTGTGTGTGTTTGTTTCAGTCTATGTCACTTTATCATATGTGTAAGTTCCAGTATCCATCACAGCCAAGATAAGGAACAACTCTGTGACCACAAAGATCCCTCTTGTTGCCTTTTGATAACGACACATACCTTCTTCCCATGCCCCCCTAGCCCGTGGTACCACTAATGCGTCATTTCAGAAGCGTCATATAAATGGAACCAAATTGTATGTAACCTTTTAGGACTGGCTTTTTTCGCTCCAAGTGATTCCCTGGAGATTCATCCCGGTTGTTGCATGTATCAACGATTTGTTCCTTTTTCCTGCTGGATAATATTCCACAAAATAATTAAAAAAAAAAAAACTTTAGTGTTATTTCCAGAAGTGAACACTGGGTCTGGGAGAGTGAACAGTTGGCTGTGCATTGCAGGGTTGTTCTCCAGAAAGCTCAGCCAGGTCCCTGGTCCCACCAGTGTCATACAGGTAAACGTGCGCGTAAGTTGGCTAGGGCTGTTGAAACCAAGTACCTCAAACTGGGTGGCTCGAACGACAGAAATGCATTGTCTCATAGTTCTGGAGGCTGGAACTGTGAGATCAGAGTGTTGGCAGGGTTGGTTCCTTGTGAGGCCTTGTGAGCAGAGTCTGTTGCATGTCTCTGCCCTCGCTGCTGGTGCCTTTACTGGCAATCTTTGGCATTCTTTGACTTATAGAAGCATCCCCCCCACCCCCTGATCTCTGCCTTCCTCTTCCTGTGGCATTCTCCCTGTGTGTTTGTCTATGCCCTCATTTCCCCTTTCTTAAAAGGACGTCATATTCAATTAGGGTCCACCTTAATGACCTCATCTAATTATATCTGCTACAACCCTGCTTCCAAATAAGGTCACGTTCTGATGTACTAGGAGTTAGGATTCAAGATATGAATTTTGGAGGGGCACGGTTCAGCCCATAACAGCACGCGCCTCCACAAGGTGACCAACTCTGGGTTTGGGCTAAAAATCTTTAAATTGCATTTAATAATTTAACAGTTGTACCTAAATTTCTAGCAAGGCTGTTTTTTTTATGTGATGATTTGCTGGTTCTCATTTCTACCAAGCTGCCTGTTCGTATGTCCACTTGCCAAACCTTTCATGAGGCAAGACCCACCCCTGCCAGGAGCTGTGAACTGATCCGTACTCCCCCTCCAGGAGCTCCTGTACTGGGGAAGAAAACAGTTCTTCAGCAAAGAAAGTGGTTAGTGCCACTGAGGAAAGGTTCAGATGCATCTTTTTAAAGGGACAAAGTGTTATGAGCCTGCAGAAGGGAAAACAGTCTCTTCTGCCTGGGGTGTATCTGGGGCCCACACAGGAAGATGTGGCCTTTGCACCCCACTTTGAAGGACAGGTTAAGTTTGGAAAGAAAGTTATGTTCGTTTGAATCCTCGGGATTATAGAATCTTTGATCTGAAAGAAGCCTCCAGAGGCATCTAACTCTCTACTTGGTTCTCAAGCCACCTGCCTGTAATTCATGGGAATGGAGGGTTCTCCTTATGGGCTGCATTTTTACACAGACTTTGCTCCCACAGGTCAGGGTAAAATGGAATATCTGGATTTGGAGGGCTATCCTGTTTATAGGCAGTTGTCTGCAATAAGGGACGTCCAAATCAGCCTTTTTTTTTTTTTTTTAAGATTTTATTTATTTATTAGGGGCGCCTGGGTGGCTCAGTCAGTTAAGCGTCTGCCTTTGGCTCAAGCCTGATCCCAGGCTCCTGGGATCGAGCCCCAAGTCGGGCTCCCTGCTCAGTGGGGAACCTGCTTCTCCCTCTCCTCCCCACTCATGCTGTCACTATTTCTGTCTCTCTCTCTCTCTCAAATAAATAAATAAAGATTTGACAGAGAGAGCGCGTGCAGGTGCGAGCGAGCGCACAAGCAGGGGGAGCAGCAGAAGGAGAGTTGGCATGGGGGTCTTGCAGTGGCGGTGAGAGACCAGGCTCAGCTCCGAACACAGCACAGAAAGTGGGAATCTATAGCCCAGGAGCAGTGTGGGGTCAGTGGATGGAAAATTACTAAGAGGTAGCAGAGAAGGTAAGGGGGGATTCTGGCTAAACCAACCTAACCTGATTCCTGCTGAAGGCAGCCGTGGCGATCAGACTTCACCTGCGGGACAGTGAGGGGGGCGGTGAAGAACCCGATTAGATATTGAGGATGATCAGATGGGGAGGTTGGGGGAATTCTGGCTAAAATGGGACAAAAGGAGACAAACATGGAAGTCCAAAGGTCGGGCCTAGTTGAAAAAGAATGAAGTCTGGCAAAAGAGAGGTTCTGTCACCCCGTGGGTTTGGAGACTGGCTTCCCTCTTCCAAGCCCAGTTGCACCTGCCCTCTGCTCTCCATTC